GCTTTTGCTGAGCGTGTAGTTGTTTTGCTACACGCAGGTAGACATGACGGAGCAGGTGCCAACCCTGGAGAGCGGTGACGATGGGGAGACGGGCGGCGCACGGACGAACTCTTAATTACTTTCAATGATTTCATTAATCAATTGGGCATGAACCCACCCTTGTTGTTATTTAGTTTGGACTGAACTTATCTCATTACTTCCGCAAGTACTCTGCACTTTCATTACACACGTTTTGGGAGTAGCTCCCTGGCATTTATTCCTCTAAATAAAACCCAACCGTTTTCTTATTAAATAGTTAGTGATGTTTTCGTAACGGATGGTTCTCGGACTGTTCATGTAACCCTACCGGTCCGTTGGGTCGCGGGTGAACCGGGTCCACGGAAGGCGGGTGTTACAATTTGGTATCAGAGCCCAGTTCGGTTTTTTTTGAAAAAAAAAACACAACTTGTCGTCAAAAGTCCACAGCCGCATATCCCATCGCATCACTCCCAGGGAAAGGTACATCGTTATTTAGATCACATGTATGTCATATTATAACTAGTTCTGATTTAAGTTATTCCTTTAGAAAATGAGTCAAGCAGCTGGCAATGACGGACAGGCGGTCCCAGAGGGGGAGCCTGAGCACGCGAGCGTGCACACTGAAGCATCGAGCTTCACACCTCAGCAGGCCTCCGAGCAGGCGGTCCCGGGCGTGGGCCCTATACCGGAAGCCATCCCTATTGTCCAGCCGCACTTCGCGGCTAACTTCATGAACTTCCTCCAGCAGATGGCTGGAGCTTACGTGCCACCGCCACCACCGCCGCCACCAGTGGCGGTAGTCACTCTCGAGAAACTCCGGAAGAATGGAGCTGAGGAATTCTTGGGCGATCAGATCGCCGACCCCATGATTGCCAAACGGTGGTTTGAGCGAACCATCCGAGTGTTGGGGAACCTGAGGGTTCCACAGGAACAGCGTGGCGACCTCACAGTCGCATTACTTCAGGATTCCGCCTACGACTGGTGGAAGCGTGTGGGAGCAGGCGTCCCGGAGCCCGTGCAGTGGGCCACATTTGACCGACTCTTCCACGAAGAGTACATCCCTGAGCACTTCGTCGAGGCGAAGCGGGAGGAGTTTTTGAAGTTCACCCAGGGTGAACTCACACTGCCTGAGTATCGTCAGACGTTTGAAGAGCTCGCGGGGTTTGGGCTAGACCTCGTACCGACCGTGGAGAAGCGATGCAAACGCTTCGTGGAGGGTTTACGTCCCGACCTTTCGACCCATCTGATCATTGCTCCCCGGAGTGACATCAATGCATTGTACAAGAATGCGTTGGATTTGAACGCGAACCTCATCAAGAAGGCTGAGTATGAGCAGACACTAGGAGTGTCATCGGCACCATCTCGTCCTCCTCCACCCCAGAAGGCGGGGACCAGCAGCAAGAGGTCCTTTACAGCGCCAAGCAACTCTCACCAGAGTAAGAAGGTGAAGTAAGCCCCAGCTCAGTCATCTGCGTCCGTACAGAAGAAGGGCAAGAGCGGGGATGGGTTTCGCAATCCGATTTGCGACCTTTGTGGGCGCAGGCACCCAGGAGAGTGTTGGTACACTCTTGGCCTGTGCCTTGGGTGTGGCCAGGCCGGGCATTTCCGAAAAGATTATCCGAAGAATCCGGGTGAGGCATTCTCGACCGCACCGGCCGCTCCAGCCCCAGCAGCGCAGCCCGCCCAGAGTCAGAAGTCGGCGGCAGCATCTAGCCAGCCCAAACGGCAGGCATCTGGCGCTCAGGCGGGGAAGGCCCGTACTTACGCAATGCGAGGGCGTACCGAGCAGCCCGCCCATGACGTCATCATGGGTATGTTCACCTTATTCGATACATCTATTACAGCTTTGATTGATCCGGGTTCCACTCTATCATATGTTTGTATGCCTATGCCTGTTATGCCTAACATTCCGAGGGAAAATTTAGACAATCCGGTATTAGTATCCAACCCATTGGGACACAGTCTACGACTCACCCATGTGTATCACGATTGCCCATTAGTGGTCCAGGGAAAGATTTTCCCTGCGAGTCTCATTGAGCTTCCACATCGTGAGTTTGACGTTATTCTGGGCATGGATTGGCTCACCGCCAACCAAGCCGTTGTTGACTGTGGAGTTCATACTGTTCGACTGAGAGCCGAAGACGGTAGTGACGTACTGATCCATGGTGAGCTTCTTCCGAAAGCTCCAGAATTCATTTCCTACATTCATGCTCGTCGACTCATTCGCAAGAAGTGTGAAGCATTCTTGTGCACAGTGCGTGACACTTGTCAGGAGGCGCCTGGTAGGGGGGACATCCCTACGGTGTGTGACTTTCCTGATGTGTTTCCGGATGACTTACCTGGTCTACCACCCCCTAGGGAGGTAGAGTTTTCCATTGATCTTGTTCCAGGAACAGGACCAATCTCGATCACACCTTATCGCATGGCGCCTGCAGAGATGAAGGAGCTGAAGGCTCAACTGCAGGAGTTGCTGGATAAGGGCTTCATCCAGCCTAGTGTGTCTCCTTGGGGAGCACCGGTTCTGTTCGTCCGCAAGAAGGACGGATCGATGCGGTTGTGCATTGATTACCGTCAGTTAAACAAAGTTACCATCAAGAATCGCTATCCGTTACCCCGCATCGACGATTTGTTTGACCAGTTGAGAGGAGCCACAATCTTCTCTAAGATCGATCTCCGATCAGGGTACCATCAGATTCCCGTCAAGAAGGAGGACGTTTCTAAGACTGCTTTCCGCACGAGATACGGTCATTACGAGTTCACAGTCATGCCCTTTGGTTTGACTAACGCACCAGCAGTGTTCATGGAACTGATGAACAGTGTGTTCCGGAAGCATCTTGATCAGTTTGTTGTGGTCTTCATCGATGACATCCTGGTGTACTCCAAGACACAGGAGGAGCATGCCGAGCATCTGCGTGTCGTTCTGAGCATTCTTCGGGAACAGCAGCTTTATGCCAAGCTGTCCAAATGTGAGTTCTGGTTGCACGAGGTTACCTTCCTCGGCCATGTCATCTCGGCCGAAGGTGTGAAGGTAGACCCGTGTAAGATAGCAGCG